GCCAAGCAAATACAACCACATCCTAATAGTTCCAAATAGTTCTCTGTCACCCTGAGGAAGTCAGGAGTCAGCATCCTGCTCCCCCTACAGGGAGAGTCCCTGCTGTTAGGCATGCCTGCTCACTGCATGACTCGTTCCCTATTTGCTCCTAATTTAATCAATTTTATCTGAGCAATTAACCTTATGGTTGACCACAGCTCTGTCCTGCCTTATGCCCACCTTGCACACTCCCATTTTTTTCCACCCTTCCACCTATCTAACCTCATGATTTTACTCTATGAAAGTCCCTAGAAAAGATAAGAGTCTCGGCAACCCAGTCGGGACCCCTTCTGTCTCTCAGACAGAAGCTTTCTTTCTCTCAGTAAATATATTCCATTCTTAAACTCCATCATTCCTAAAATTCATTCTTCTATTTTAGAGAACACAACTCATTCCAGACATACAGCAGGTCAGGAGTTTCATTCCCTTGTATAGATTTCCTTTGGGTCTCACTCAAATGTCATGTGATGCTCTATTTGATAACTTCTCCAAAAATTGGCTACCCTCTTGCCTTGTTTTATGTCTTCTGCTAGGTGAATACCCCTCTAACATAAGAAATGCTTTACTTAACCATTTTATGTGTCTTTCCCTATTTGAAATGAAAGTCTCTTTTGAAAGAGTTTTGGCCTAGAATAAATTACTGGACATTACGGCAGCAGTTCAACATGGTGGAAGGCCGAATCGGGGATGCTCACCCTGACGGCCACTTCCTCCTTCTTCCCCATTACAACTTCCTTCTTCCTTTCCCAGTGCATGTGAAGAAAATTCCAATCAGCTCCTCAATCGTCATCAGTGCCCGCCCCAAGAATCACATCCAGTGAAAGGTTACATATATCCCACACCCCACATCCGGTCAGAGGAGAAAGCCAAACTGTTGCTGGTTACAGGCTCCTCTCCATGTCCTTTAATAAAAAGGTCACTTTTACTTTTTCTTACATTCTGTTCCTTTATTGCACCACAAAACTCTAACATCTTTGAGAGTGAAAGTTTTTATTTTAAGACATTCCTAGAACCATACCAGGCCCTGCAGTATTAGTTGCCTAGAAAATATTTACTGAATTATTTATGAATGCTACGTTAAGCTGTCATAAGTAGAAAATCTTATCTGAAATTTTTAGCCAGCTAGCAACACGTAGCGTTTCTTGCATGTCGATTACACGTAGTTAGACATATAGACCCATCCCTAGCACCTCCTACACACTTCAAATCATGCTTAACAAAAAAAAAAGAATAATCACTTTTCCATTTTAATGTGCAAATAAATTATTTGCATTTAGTCCTATGAAAATTTGAAATTTTCAAACTGCTTTTATTTCACAAAGAGAAGTCTTAGGAAAGCATGCATACGTCCTAAGAAGAGCCTGAAATATACTTGCAAGATTTAAAAAATTAGATACAAGGAGTAAAAGGTAACCGATTACTTATTTGGAAGAAGAGAAACTAAAAGTTGGTTTATCATTTGTCGACTGCAAGCTGGCCACTCCCAGCTTTATGAGTCTTTAATTCCAATTTTCTTGACAGCACAAGCAATTTGACACCCAGAAAAATTTCTACATTAAAGATATAGAATTGTTTTTTTGTTTTTTTTTTTTTTTTTGAGATAAAGTCTCACTACGGATGCAGTTCAGGCTGGCCTTGAGCTCACTCTGTAGCCTAGGCTGGTCTCGAACTTGCAATGACCATCCTGCCTCAGCGTCCCAAGTGCTGGGATTACAGGTAGAATCCTTTTATCAAGCGGTCCTTGTGTATAAGATACAAGTTCCTTTGAGGTGATTTAGATAACAATCTTGCCTGAAACCCAAAGATAAGGACATATTTAAGGTGCTTTTGTGTCAGACTGTTAACAAAGCGGACTCTCATTGAGAAATTCCCAAGGCCTGCTTTCTTCTAAAGCTGTATTTTGAGTTTTCTTCCACCAACAGATGGTTTTGGAATCCCACTGTACCACTCCTTTAAAGGACCGAGAACCTACTCCTTTAGGCAGAAATGTGTAGTCTGATACTTCCTGTCCCAGTGGGGTAGAGAATCACATGTTTGAATATCAAAGTAGCCAAGCAGCCACACATTGTAGGACAATTCCAACAATGTGATGAACACCTTCGCACGTGGCAAGGCCCATGTTCTGGTGTCTGCACATCTTGACTCCATCACTATCTATTCATCTGAGGCTAACTTTTGGATTAAAGCTTCTGCTCTGTATCAGGCTTCTTTAAAGCTTTTCTTCACCTTTGAAGGGGATCCCTTGTGGGGAGACGTGAGCTTTGGGAACGGCACTGGAAGCCAGGATGGATTGTTGGAAAGAGCACACCCTTGGACACCACACAGCCCCAGGGTGCTCCCTGCCTCTTGTTGCCCATTTGATTTAATTCCTCCCAGCCTGCTTTCCTCAGTCATAAAGTGGGATGATGGTGACGATCGTTCCAAGATTATGGACAGAGGAGAGACTTCTTCCACAAACTGGATGCCTACCACTAGCACCAATCTTGGCTATTATTTTTGCTTTTGGGAGAGAGACTTGTATGGCCCTAAAGGTGTCAGAGACCTGGCAGAACCTTTTGTTCAAGAGGCAACTGCAGAGGCAGGCTGCTGACCCAGGATAAAAATAGAGGCCAGGCTTTCTTTGAAGTGGCATTAGCAGCACATGCATCAGATAGCGCCCAGCCAGCCCCGCCCTCCTCTGCCCCCAGGAGGCAGGCAGCTGGGCTAGCCAGGCAGAGCCCCCGTCTCACTGCCCTCTGAGGGCTGATGGGCCAAAGTGTAGACTTCTTGATTTTTTTTTAACTTTCTGTTATAAAAGGATAAAAATAACCATGCTCGTCTGAGGATCATGAAGACCAATGTTAAGCAGGAATCTGTGCACATACATCTGTGGTCCCTTTCATTGTAGAGACAATGATTAGAACAATAACCACAACATACAGGGACTTTACCACATGGGAGTCACTGTGTTGAGCACACTTTGGCTATGCCTTTACTTAATCCTCTGAACAATCCCCAAGTCCTTATCCTGCAGCTAAGACAACTGAGGCATTAGAAATTAGGTAACTGATGCCATGTCATGCACATATATATGTGTTTGAATTGGGCAATTGATTATACAGGTAATAACATTTAACTTAAAGTAGTGTATTTAAGGCATTAAATCTGTTAGCAGACATTACTGTAGCATCTCACCTTTATTCTGAAAAACAAGGTGTGTCAATTTACAAATGATATCCTATGGATTCTTTTTTGATACTAAGATTTTGAACCCAGGACCTCACATACGCTGAGCAAATGTTCTACCAGTGGGGGGGATAGTGTTAGGAGCTACACCCTTAACTCTTTTATTTTCTCTTGTGACAGGATTTTGCTTAATTGCCTAAGCTGGCCTCAAACTTGTAATCATTTTGTCTCAGCCTCCAGAGTAACTGGGTTCACAGGAATTTGCTATCATGCCTGGAAAAATAGTTCTGTTAATAAAAACTGTGTTCTATTTAAATGACTGGAATTCCCATTTTAAAATTTTTTGCTAACTTTGTGGGGGAAAACTTTACTTAAGTTTATTTATAAAAGTCTAATTGGTTTGAATATAAAGATACACCTTTCAAATGTGTTTCAAAACATTTTATGAAAAGTTTTCTCTCTCCTTAAAAGACTTAACTAGTAAAAATCACTCACACCAAAATAAAATACCGTAAATAATAACAGATATTAAGAGTTGAGATTTTATCCATTTATAGAAATAAAAAACTTAGTTTTCAAAATAAACAAAAATATTCAGTTTGTATGTAATAAATGCACTTTTAACTGGGGGAGATGAACTTACAGAGGAACATGCTTATGCCCTGTACAATGCAGTCACTCAATAGAACCAACCTGATTAGTTAAAAATGAGCCCAGTATATACCAAATTATAAAACCCACTTAAAACATGTCTATACAAATATAGCTTTAGCCGTCCATAAAACCTTAGTCTTTCCTAAAACAAATCCAGGTAACTACTTTCTCTTGTTTTATTTGGGGGGAGGTCTTTTTGAGACAGTGTTTAGGCTGGCCTTGAACTCCCTTTGTAGCCCCGGCTAGCCTCTAACTTGCAGCAATCCTCCTGCCTTAGCCTCCTAAGTGCTGAGATTATAGGCATCTGCCACCATGGCCGCCTGAATGTGCTTTTTTCCCCTAGAAGGCAAGGAAGGATGAGAAGATGGCTTATAGATTCTGAACCTTCCATTTGTAAGAGAGCTAACATCCTCTATGCAAACTGCTTAACCAAGGAGAGTGGCTTTTGCTTTTCAGAGAGATACCTTAGTGAATATTTTAAGAACAAGCACCCCTTAAGAATACATGCATCCCATCTAATCATTGCAGTTTGGCCTTTGTGTGATAACACGTTCAACCTTCCCTCGGATGTGTTCCTATGCCATTTTGTCACAATTCCTACAGTCGTTAACAACTCTTGTGAAATCAATCACAGTGCCACACTCTAGGGGGCTGAAGCCAGAGGATCATGAGTTCTAGCTCAACCTGAGTGACCTAGAGACTTAGTAAGTGCCCGCCTCATCATAAAAGATCATAATAAAAAAGAATGGAGGACATAACTCAGCCTTTAGGTTCAAGCCCCAGTACTACATATACGTGCCCCCCCAACACACACACACACACCAGAAACAAAGAAAAACTGCATTCCCTGGCAATTGAAACTGGTTGATGGCAATGACCAAGGCCCACCCACATGTACAGCATAGGGCTCATTTCACACAGATGCAGAGGATACACTCGGAGCAAAGATGACTTCCTTAGTGTTTGTCTTTGGCTTTCTGTCCATTACATTCCCAAGGTTATTAAACAGACCTTTTGAATTATGTTTTAGGCCAAGTCAAATTGCTTAACCTACTGTTAAAATTTAAGATTTACTTCCAATTCATGTTTATTTTTCTTGCATCAAAAACATGGTCCCGGAGTGATGTGTCAAATTAGGGTTGGTGCTCGCTTTGGCAGCACATATACTAACATTGGAACAATATAGAGAAGATTAGCGTGGCCCCTGACCAAGAATGACATGCAGATTTATAAAGTGTTTCATACTTGTTTCAATTTTGCACGCTTGTATCTTATAACCTGAGTAATTACTCTGAAGATAACAATGTACAATGTATTAGCCATTGTTAACTTCGTAGGATCTTATTTTGAACTTCTGTAGCATTGTTTTTATTGTTTTTCTCTTTAAAATAAAAAAAATTAATGAGGGATAGTAGCCCCAACTTTTCAGCAGTGCCTAAACAACTTGTTTCCTTAGGCACAAAGTAGAAAAAAAATTGTTCTTAATTCATTTGCCACATCTCTTTTTAGTCCAAGTAGCAATTTCATTTAATGAAATCTTTATTGTTTGAGGGAATTTGCACAATAAATTCCTATGTATCATTTCATTTTAGAGACACTGGGATGCCAAAAAGTAGGTGAGATTTTCAAATGAATGATTATTTTCCTGGCATAGACAAAAGACCATAGGGGTGTGGGTATAGATTAAAATTGAACATGTTAAGTATAATCGATATAGATGGTGAATGTTTAAGTTTAAAATAAAAATCACAGTAAAAGACACATTGCCATTAATTTCCCTCAAAACATTCCCTCTCGCTTCAAATACATATGTCCCGTCACTCTTGCCACTCTGAAGCAGCTCTGGAGGTCTGCTTTTGCGAGTCTTTTGACAAAGTCTGATTAAAAAATACAGTGAATGCTGCTGCCCAGAGCCATTCCACAGAGGCAGACTTGTAAAACTATTACATTGTGTTCCAACCACTTTGTTCATAGGATCTGGCATTCCCAGCTCTTCTGGCAACTTCTAGCTCTTCCCCAAAGTCAAAATGCCACAAAAGGTAAATGTTTTCAGCTGAGTCAGAGCATCAGGGCAGCCAGGACAGTGCAACTAAAGTCATTCATGAAAAACAGCTTCTGCCACTGCTTCTCAAAATTGCAAGGATGATGGGTAAGTGTAAAGGTTTTGGCCCAGACAGGACACTGTAGCCGGTGAAGCCTTAGAGGTGGAACTAAGGAGCTCCTATCTCCCCGACCCCTAGGAATTTACCTGTGACTCCATCTTCCCACCCTAAGAATTTACCTATGGTGCCAAACAAAGACCAGTGGGCTACCCGTGCATCCCTGATGCCCCTTTAGATTCCACCCCAAACCGAGGCTACTTACATACCCCCCACGCCACGTGTCCACCGGACTGTGGCGGACTCCAGAGGTCAGGGGTGTTTTGGTTTTCTCTCTCTGTGTTCTCAGAATAAAGGCCTCTTTTGTTTTATATGTCTCATTTTTTGGATATAATCTTATCATTTGGTGCTGTGACTCGATCAGCAGGCAATTGACTCCTGGGACACACCCAGTTGAGTCCCCAGCTGATTCAGGAACTGGATTCCTTCCTGGATTACTTCTCTGCTTTTCCTCTCCCGGGACCTGCTTGACTTGTTGCCAACCGCTCGCACACAACACAGTCCGATTAATCTCAGGTGAGCAAACTCCGGAAAATTCTTGGTGCTGAGCTGGGCCCCAGGTGAGTTTTTTCCCCCTTCGCGTGGGTTCGTGATGCTCTCACGTCCTTAAGACAGCCCAGGGCAGGGTCTTTCTGGGCAACCTGCGTCCACACTCAAAAATGTCTCACGTCCTTTGGGTTCAGATAGCCCAAAGCAGAGTTTTCTGGACTGCCCACACTGTAAGACCCTCACGTCCCTCAGAGCTTCACGCTCTCATGGGCAGAACTGTTACTGACCGCACATGTACTCCACTAGTAAATCTCTCAGTGACAACTGGAATATATGAGTTTTTGGACCCTAACCGTCGTTTGGTGCCACAGGACAAGTGACAGCTCACCCTCCGGACCATGGCTCATTTCTTGCCTGAATTAGGAAACATTTTTTCTAATTTCCAAAAGATGCCTCTACAATGCCTGATTCCCAATCTACGTACTCTTAAGATTAAAAGCACCATAAAAACTAAACAATTAACTTTTTACTGTCAGAAGGTTTGGCCGACCTACCCACTTATCAGCAACCCTTGGCCCAGAGAGGGGACATTTGACCCCTGTGTTCTCAAAAACCTCTATGATTTCTGTCAGTCTGGCAACAAGTTAACAGAGATCCCTTATATGCAGGCTTTCCTTGTTCTGAGAACACGCCCATCTCTCATTAAATCTTGTACCCCTACCCAGGTACTTTGAGCTAACTCTGCCGTGCCGCAAACTCTCCCCTCCTGCCCTCATGATCTGCTCAATGAAGTACCCCCAGTTTTTTATCGGCCACCGCCCACCTACCCCCAAAATTGTTCCTCGTCATTACCTCCTGCTGTGCGACCATCTTCCCCTCCCTCGACCCCCAATTCTCCCAGCAGCTCTAATCCCTCTGTGTCACAGTTATCTCCGGCCGTGCGATCCTTTCCCCCTCCCTCTCCTCTCCTGGGGCCCATAACTCTCCCAGCAGCTCCAATCCCTCTGTTAGCGCTTTCTCGCAGTCTCCAACCTCCTATTCTCCTGAGAATTCTCTATCCCCTACACCATTCTCACCTCCAGCCCACCATACTAGGTCTCGGTTGCTGTTTCCTTCTGGCAAGCTGCGTGACTGTTCCAGCTTGCGCTGGGAATGGTTGCCATGTTGCAGCCCTCTGCCACGTGACAGGATGCCGCCATCTTGGGACGGATCTCACGGTCAATTGGCGCCCCCTTGTGGCTCCTGTTGTGATCAGCAACAGCTACCCTGTTGTGGACCACATGACGGTTCATTGTGCTGTGGACAGCAATTTCATCACTGCAAGGCACACAGTGAGACGCCATCTGCCAGTGTTTCCTCATCCCAGGTTAACCAGCAGCTGCTCTGTAGCCACTCTACAGATAATTGCTCACACACATCTACTGGACAGATGGCTGCCCAATGGCCATCTACTCCACAATCTTCTCCTCAATCTCTGCTACCGCTTCGGGAGCAAGCTGGCCCTGAGGGACTTGTTAATATACATGTGACTTTCTCCCTTTCTGACTTATCTCAGATTACCCATAAATTAGGTAGCTTCTCTGTTGACCCACAGAATTATATCAGGGAATTTGAATTTATAACTAATTGTTATGATTTACATTTTAAGGATGTTTATGTGATTCTAAATATGACTCTCAGCTCACAAGAGCAAAATCAGCTGTGGCAAGCAGCTCGAGAAGAAGCTGATCACAGACATAAGGAGAACACCACTGATAATGACCCTGGGCCTGCAACTGTGCCAGAACAAGATCCTAACTGGAACTATCAAAACAGTGAAGGTTCGACAAAATTACATAAAATGATTGAGTGTCTGATTGTGGGCCTTAGTAAGATTGCTCACAAACATACTAACTATAACAAACTTTTAGAACAGATCCAGGAGGCTAATGAAAACCCAGCTGTGTTCCTAAATCAGCTTCAGGAAACCTTAATTAAGTTTACTAATGTGAACCTAGACTCTCATGAAGGATAATTGTTGTTAACTCTTATTTTATTTCCCAGTCTGCTCCTGATATTCGTGCAAAATTACAAAAGGTTGAACACGGCCCTCAAACTCTGCAAGGGGATCTACTTAAATTAGTTTTCCATGTCTTCAACAGCAGAGATAAAATTCAAAAAAAGGAAAAGCAAGCTCAAAAATTAAAGTTTGCTAAATATCAGTCTGATCTCTTAGCAGTGACACTTGGGGCTCCCAGGACAAGAAATCCAAAACAAGGTGTGGCTGCCCAAGTCCCACCCGGACTGTGCTTCAAATGCAGCAAACAAGGATACTGGGCAAAAGATTGCCCTAACCCTGGCATTTCTCTAGGACCATGTCCATACTGCAACCTTAAAGGGCATTGGAAGAGTGACTGTCCTAGCTGCCAGAGAGCAGATAAGCCATCCTCTAATCCCTCGCCCTCACAGGAGACTCTGTCAATGCCAGATTCGTTGCTGACTGATCTGCTCGGACTTGCTGCAGAAGATTGGTGGGGCTCGGGGCTCACAGTCCCACTCTGGTAACCTTGTCAGAGCCCCGAGTCTCACTGCAGCTCTCAGGTAAGATAATATCTCTGCTTGTAGATATGGGGGCGACTTATAGTGAACTTCCTGAATTTTCAGGACCTTGTAGTAAGTCCTTGATTTCTGTTGTGGGCGTTGATGGCCAGCCTACTCAACCTTTGCAAACTGGGCCTATCCCATGCTGATTCCAGACTCTTTTCTTTATCCATAGCTTCCTAGTAATTCCAACATGTCCCACACCCATTTTAGGTAGACACCTTCTTCAAAAGCTGTAGGGAGCCGAGCGACAGCCCATTGCTGCCTCCCTGCCTCTCTCTCTCCTATGGGCACTGCGTCTGCCTACATTAACCATAATCCTCTCCTGCTTACGTCACATACCCGGACGTGACGGTGACCCTGTTGTATTCATCCCCATAGCCTCTTCCTGTCCCACCTGCCCTTGGCCTATAAAAGAGGTAATCATTTCCGGAATAAACTGGGGGCTTGATCGGATTCTCTCGACTTGCTTCCATCTCTTTTTGTCTCCCCTGTCTTTATTTAATCCCTGTTCCACCTCCAGGTGCACCCCATGGATTGATCCACAGGCCGGATCAAGTGGTGCCCAACGTGGGGCTCCTGGGACAGAGGAGTCAACGAGGGAGCCATTCAACACAGCCAGCTTAAACTGAAAGTGAAAGCAAATTGAACCAAAGACCACGGCGAGGAGGGAGCAAACTAAATCAAGGATTAAAGCTAAAAGTAACAGGACATTAAATCAAGTGCCGAGGCCTGTGCAGACTACTACCCAACATCCTGCCCAAGTCATGGTGAGTGAACGGCGACCCCATTCCCTTTCCCGGACATGGGTCAAGCATTGAATGAACATGAAGTGTTCGTGGGAGGCCTTATAAAGGCATGAAAGACAAAAGGGGTCAGGGTTAGAACAAAAGAATTATTGCAGTATTTTTAATTTATCCATAAAGTTTGCCCTAGAGAGTTCTATAGATACCAAGAAGTGCAATAGAGTAAGAAATGCTTCAAAAGATTATTATAGGTTTTCGTTTCAGAAAAGATTCTGGTGACCACCTTTGCGTATTGGAATTTAATCTCTGAGCTGCTTGCCCAGCGACATGCAGATCCTCAGATTGAGGAGACGGTCGCACAAGGCCTTATAGTGCTCCTAAGATAGCGCCTGTTTCCAGCAAGCCTCATAGCGCTCTTAAAATGGCACTTGCCTCACTTCCACCACATCAGCGTGGGTCCCTCCCCAAAATTGTGTTTCTGGTGACGGAAGCAAAGGTACCTCCCCAAGATGACACTGCACAGCCGCTAGACGGCACGGGGGCTGTGCCGCTAGCTCCACGAATCATTAGGACACATACGCCATTCACAGTGGCAACTTTAAAAGAATTAAAGACAGCCGTTGCCCAATATGGCCTTACAGTGGCTTTCACTCTTGCTGTTTTAAATTCTCTGGCTGACGGCTGGCTCACACGTACAGATTGGCAAAGATTGGCCCAAGTGACTTTATCGGGTGGCAATCATCTTTTTAAAAATCAGAATACACAAAAAATTGCAAAGAGACCACCAGGCACAATACACAAGCCAGCAATGGGTTCGACCTTAATATGTTAATAGTAAAAGATGCCTATGCATGCAGAGAAGCTCAAAAAGAGTTTAATCCAACACTTTTTGCTCAAATTCAAAAAGCAGCTACTCAAGCATGGAGAAAGCTACCTGCAAAAGGTAATATGAGCTCCTCTCTCACTAGCATTAAGCAAGGCCCAGATAAACCCTTTTCAGAGTTTGTTGATTGTTTGATTGCTGCTGTTAGTGGAGTCTTTAGCCACACTGATAAAGGCACTGATTTTGTTAAACAGCTGGTTTTTAAAGGTACTGGCACTGTCTGCTGGGCTGCTATCAGACCTCATAAAAATAGAACAGGCCTAACAAGATATATACACCTTTGCTGTGGCTGCTGTCTTGCAGGGGTTTGCAGTTGGACAGTTCTTATCTCAAAAGCATAAACAAGACTGTTTTACCTGTAGAGAGACTGGTCATTTTACAAAAAAAAAAAAAAAAAAAACAAAAAAAACTCCAGAGATAGAGATTCCAATGTCAATTACTTTGACTCATTTAACTGATCGGAGTGATATTGGTCTAGTCTCTTAAGTTTAATTTCAGTATATGTAAGGATGGGGACAGCTGCTAAAAAAATGAGACACACTATGGTAGTTATTATTGTCTTTTCCAATGTCAGATCTTAAAAACCTGAGAAGCCTTCATCATCCTGTAGTGATTTGATTAGTTCTATAATATGCAGTGTGTATTTAATGTGCTTAAAGATGGGCACAACTGTTTGGAGGAAACTAGAGACAATTAAGTAAATAGTAAAGATCTCCAGTAGACTTGCTTTGAAATCTGTATTTCTTTAAATCTTTTTTTAAAATGGTTTTGTTCTGTTTTGATATGTTTGGTATTGCCCTCTTTGAGATAACAAAGAAGTGTGTAGGGCTGATAATCATATTACTAAGTTTTTGTTGGATCATTGAGCAGAACTGTTGGCAATGTCACTGTTTGGATGTTATTTTACATGCTTTAATTTTGTAACCTGGATGGCTGTTTCTGGGATGACAATGTGTAACTTATCAACTGTTGATTTCTTACCATTTATTTTTCTGTAATTCTGTATTAAGATCACTATAAAACAAACCAGACAGATAGTAAAAAATTGCCTTTCTTGTGCCATGCACCTCCCAATTCCAAACTTTGGGGTTAATCCTAGGGGACTTATCCTCAATACATTATGGCGAATGGATGTCATCCACATTCCTGAGCTTTGGCAATCTTAAATATGTTCATTTATGATATCTTTAGTGGTTACATTTATACCTCTCCCCAGACTGCCAAAGCTACCAAATGTTATTAGCCATATGTTAACTACCTTCTCGGTTCTGAGATGCCCACAACAATTAAAGGCTGATAATGGTCCAGGCTATGCTAGTTCTGCCTTTGTTCATTTCTGTCAACATCTTAATATTGATCATATAAAAGGCATACCTTATAACCCTCAAGGTCAAGGCATAGTTAAAAGGGCACATCTCTCCCTAAAACTCACTGTTGATAAAATAAAAAAGGGGAAATGGTACTCCACAAGGAGGACACCTAAAAATATTCTATCTCATTCCTTATTCATCCTTAATTTTTTAAATTTGGATGCTTCTGGACAGTCAGCAGCCATGCATTTTTGGCATTCTAAAACACAAAAGCAATTTGCTTCTATACTATAGAGAGACCCCTGACTAATTCATGGCATGGCCCTGACCCCATTCTCATATGGGGATGAGGCTCAGTGTGTGTTTACTCTCAACAAGATAGAGAAGCTAGATGGTTACCTGAGTGCCTCATAAAACAAGTAGACAGTTCTTCAAAGACCCCATGCAATCCAGGAATAATGTCATTTCCTGAGGCACAATCCCCTGTGTTCTCTTACAGGTGACACAACCCCCTGGAGCCTTATGCTGCCTACTCAGCCTCTTCCTTGAGCCATACTACACCCATGGTGGATTTAGACCCCTGCCAAACAGACTACAACTGCTGACAGCCATGCACAGAACCCCCTATGACTGCAGAAGAGGCTCTTCTCAGTCTAGAGAAACATAAACCAGCCAAATAGACTGCGTCCAGTGTTATGCGAGATAAGCTCCAAGACATAGGAGAATGACTTCAACAGAGATACCAACAAATGGCTGCCAACCCTTTCTCCTCGATATGTGTGTGTGTGTGGGGGGGCTTTTCCCTTACCTAGTGCCCCTTTTGGGTCCCCTAGCTGCCTTGTTGCTTCTCCTTTCTGTGAGTCCTTGTATTTTTCAGAGGATTACGATGCTCATTAATAACCAGATAGATGCATTTATGGCAAAGCCCATTCAAGTACACTATCATCAGCTGGAGATGGCAGATCAACAAACCTACTGGGAAGGAATTCCCACGAGTAGCCCATATGATGATGTGGCTTAACTGCCCTGGGGCAATGGACAGACAGTCAGAGATGGGCAACTAGGACATGCATGTTAATTCCAAAGGCCACCTAAGACAGGCACAAGACCAACTGATGTTCTGCAAGCCCATGATGGGTAAAGCCTGGTTGGGTTCATGCAATGAGGTCCTTGACCTAAGACAGATGCTGTCCGGCAGGGCCTGCCATACTCCTGATTAAATAATATAGAAAGGGAGGAGATGTAGGGAGCCGAGCAACAGCCCATTGCTGCCTCCCTGCCTCTCTCTCTCCTATGGGCACTGCGTCTGCCTACATTAACCATAATCCTCTCCTGCTTACGTCACATACCCGGACGTGACGGTGACCCTGTTGTATTCATCCCCATAGCCTCTTCCTGTCCCACCTCCCGCTCTTGGCCTATAAAAGAGGTAATCACTTCCGGAATAAACTGGGGGCTTGATCGGATTCTCTCGACTTGCTTCTATCTCTCTTTGTCTCCCCCATGTCTTTATTTAATCCCCATTCTGCCTCCAGGTACACCCCATGGATTGATCCACAGGCCGGATCAAAAAGCTTAACTTCTCCTTTAGTTTCTCTCTCCCCACAGCCCTAATCCTCCAAACAGCCTCACAATGCATTGCAAAGCTAGTCCCTCCCCTTTCTTCTTCTCTGGTTGACCCCATAGTTTGGGACACATCCAATCCCACTCTGTCTACACGTGCCATGCCTGTTTTAATCTGTCTCAGGGATCCCTCAATTTTTCCTGTGTTCCCCATAGCTCCCCAACATTTAAGGGGACTTAAACCCATAATTAACTGCCTTATGGGCAATGGTTTTTCTTAAACCTACCCATTCACCCCACAATACTCCCATTCTCCCAGTACTCAAGCCTGATGGGTCCTATCGCCTAGTTCAGGACATTAGGGTAATTAACAGTGCTGTTACCCTGACTCACCCAGTCGTGCTAAATCCCTATACCATGCTCTCTCATATCCCTCCCTCCACCACTCACTTTACAGTTATAGATCTTAAAGATGCCTTCTTTACTAACCCCCTACACCCTGATTGCCAGAACCTCTTTGGGTTTACATGGACTGACCCAGACACTCTCAGGTTTCAACAACTTATTTGGACAGTGCTCCCCCAAGGGTTCAGAGACAGTCCCTGCTTCTTTAGTCAAGCTCTCGCTACTGACCTCACAGAACTTGATCTCAAACCTAGTGTTCTTCTTCAATACACAGACAACCTTCTATTATGTTTTCCATTCCATATGTTAGCCATACACCATTCATCCAGTCTTATTAATTTCCTTGCTAGTCATGGATACAGGGTCTCTCCTGCTAAAGCCCAGATAGCCTCACCAAAAGTCAAATACCTAGGTCTCACTCTGACCCCCACCACACGTTCCATCACCTCAGATCATAAGGCAATTCTTCGTGATCTCCAGGTGCCCACAACTAACAACAGGTTACATCTTTCCTAGGTTTAGCTAATTTCTTTCATCTCTGGATTCCTAGCTTTGCAGCCTTAGCTCAACCCCTCTACAAGGCCACTAAGGGTCCCTTATCGGAACCCCTGGATCCTACTAGGCCCATACATGCCTCCTTTCATAAATTAAAAGAGTCTCTCCTAAAAGCTCCAGCTCTTACCCTTCCTGATCCCATCCAACCTTTCATCCTATATGCTACTTATCAGGGCCACAATGCTATAGGTGTACTAGGACACAAAAAGGACCTTCTTTTCAAACAGTAGCTTACTTGTCAAAACAGTTAGATCACAGTAAAAGGATGGGCTCCTTGTCTCTGAGCTCTTGCAGCTGCAGCCCTCCTGACACAGGAAGCTAATAAGTTTACATTAGGGCAATCTATTACAGTATGCTCACCTCATCACCTACGTGAGCTTATCTCACATAAGGTGCTCCCTGCCCTAATGATCCCTTCTCACCTTCAACAGGTACACTTAGCTCTCTCTCAAGACCCTTGTATCTCAATTGCAACTAGTGGTCCTCTTAATGTAGCAACCTTACTTCCCACCTCAGAGGGCCATCCTCATCATGATTGTATTGAGTTCCTACAGATAACTCCCACCCCTTTCTCTCACATCAGTAGCACACCTCTCTCTTTAGCCTTTGACACATGGTTCATAGATGGCAGTTCAACAAACACAGACAACCAAAAAAAGGCAGGATTCACAATAGTTAACCAGTCAAAAGTTATAGAGGCAAATCCACTGCCACCTGGCACCTTGTCACAGAGGGCAGAACTTATTGCCATTACAAGGGCTCTTACACTAGCAAAAGACAAGATTATAAATATATATACCGACTCAAAGTATACATTTAGCATTTTACACTCTCATGCCTCTATCTGGCAAGAACAGGGTTTTATTACCACTCAGGGAACCCCCATCATTAATGCTCCCCTTATGCTTAAACTTCTAGAGGCAGCCCAACTTCCAAAGCAGGCAGCAGTTATTCATTGTAGAGGACACCAAAACTCTACAGATCCTATTGCTCAAGGTAATGCCTTTGCAGATTCACAAGCCAAGTTAGCTGCACAAGGGCCCTGCCTTTCTCATCTTCTCCCGTTAGTCCCAAATGGTCTACCTCAGCCTAATTATTCACCAGAGCAGTTACAGCTACTTCATAAACCAGGCTACACACAAAACACTCAGGGATGGATTTTTCAGGGATCTAAACTTGTTCTCCCACATCAACAGGCCTTAGACATCATCATTGACTTACACTACTGTTTTCATCTAGGATCACAGGCCCTATACAAACTCTTAGCCCCAATAGTCACACACCCTTCTCTAAAAGCTATCATTCTTAAGATTACTCACACCTGTTATCTCTGTGCTGGGACCTCTCCTCGGGGACGTATGGCACCCCCTTCCTTTCCTACCCATAAATTTCAGGGACACACCCCAGGTCAGGACTGGCAGGTAGATTTTACACACATGCCCCGCCACAAAACTCTCAAATATCTTCTCACCAAAGTCATATTACAAGAAATCATTCCAAGGTTTGGTCTACCTCAGAGTATTCAGTCAGATAACGGTCCCACCTTTATTTCTCAGATCACTCAACAAGTATCCTCAAGCTTACACATCAGCTGCCACCTACACATCCCATACCATCCACAATCCTCAGGGAAAGTAGAAAAGGCAAGTGGCCCCATAAAGACACACCTTACAAAACTCACTTTAGAACTACACCAACCTTGACCTCAACTTTTGCCCTTAGCCTTAGCCAAGCTCAGGGCACTCCCCCAGGCTCCTACTTTCTTAAGTCCTTTTGAACTTATGTATGGCAGGCCATTCTTATTCCACAATCTTCCTACTCCCCAAAATCTCCCTCCCCTGGCTGACTATGTCCCAGTCTTCTCCTTCCTCCGACACCTGTTGCAACAACATGCTGATCTCTGCCTTCCACAACCTTCTGGAGAGGCCAAACCAGATCCTCCCATATCCCCAGGAGATCTAATTTATTTCAAATGTTCTAAATCCATAGGACTACAACCAAGGTGGAATGCCCCTATCTGGTCTACTTGGCTACCCCTACAGTGGTCAAAGTTGCTGGACTCCCATCCTGGTTTCACATCACTCAGGCTAAGAGGTGCCCTCCCAGCCCTAAATCTGATCATTCTGAATGGTCATCTCATCTTCTGTCGCCCACCCATCTCTGTTTCACGAAGGCCTCAGAGCCACAGTTAACAGGCTAATTCATGTTTTTGTATCCACTTTGGTTCCTAATTTCTTACGTTCTATTAATGATCATTTTTACAGCAGGACTTTTAACAGTATTTCCTACAGAGTCCAACGTCATGCATACCAGAGACAAGTTTTATACACCTACCCTCTTAACTTTTATGCTTTCAGATGGGGGAGTAATCACCTCTCATAACTTCATTCCTCCTAACCCCACGTTTAATTTTCAGAATTCTACCTCACCGTGACAATGATCCTACCTCAACATCATCTTGATATAATGACATGTCTAAATCAAAGGCACCTTTCCCTTTACCTCACCTGGGTCCTTAAATATGACAGTGCCATGTCTCCTCATAACATTTTGTTTCTTTGTTTTTCCAATCTAACATATGTGCATTCACCAATGAAGTTGTCCTGGCTAAAACACCTGGCACCAGCGTCTACCTGGGCATCAACCGTCATCCCATCGACTTCCCTAGACTTCAGTACAGCACCCCCTGCTAGCAGGAAGTAGTTAAAGAGAGAAATCTTCACCCATTTTCAGTAAGTGTGTTCCAAACAGAGGAAAGATTCTGAGGGTTTCTAATGGCAGTGTCTTTCACTGTAACAAGTTTTTTCAAATTGAAACATTCACTATATTTTTACATCACACCTCATACATTGCTAGTCATGATCTTATGCTTTTTTAAGTGCAAAAGGGAAATTTGCAAATATTTTTATCAGAAGTGTTTCAGGTTCATTTCTTCAAAACAGGAAGAACTGACTTCACTGGAAAGCACTAATCCCAGAGATATCTGCAGTCTGTCATTAATGGTTCAAGGGGTATCTTGCAAGACATGAGAATTCTTGTCTACTTACCTAACTTTTAAAATTAGAGAACAAATACTTAATTTGCCCTTGATGCTAGCTATTATTACAATTGTTGTCTATTGGCATAGCTTTCTTAATGGACTCTCAAATCTGTAATGTGTAATTATGTAGACATAACACAACATGTTAATTTGACAGCAAAAAGATCTTATTTGTTATTGTTTCTCTGACTTTTTCCCATCTCTATTTACCTTCATTTTAACCTGATGTTATGTATTTATTGACCATTTCAAGTACTATATATATATATATATATGTATGTATATATATATATATATATATACATATTCATTTTTAGTGTTTATGTGGCAAATGCATTCATGAACTTACAAAGAAAACCTTTTGCATCAACCATCAACCAGAAAGCCTACATCAACCTCCTTAGCTGCTTTGAATGTTTAGTTTTAGCCTAAGACAAGCTTTGAATGTTTAGTTTTAGCCTGAGACAAAAGATAAATTCTGAAGGCGACAAAATGTCTAGACTTCACAAATACACATTTAAGACTGAGAAAGGGAGAGACAAATCCTCCAGGAATTCTTGTATCTGAGGTTCTTACACATTTATCCATTTTTTTAAAATGCTGGGGATAGGAAAGAGAAAACCTGTCAACCTTACCCACTTGAAGAAAGATTTTGACACCAAAGTGTACCTCTCTTTTGGTTTGATCTATGTCTTAAAAATCATTAGATACTCTCTGGTAGTGGGGTGCAGGTTTTGCTTTGCTTCGCTGCAGTCCTGGAGATTGAACCTACCTCTGAACTACAGCGGTGGCTTACTGATTTATTTATTTAAATTTGGAGACAGGATCTCCTTGTCCAGCCTGGCCTTAAACTTGCCTGCCCACCCTCCCACGCCAAGTAGCTGGGGTTACAGGTGA